TTTTTTTTCCAATATCTTGTCTGCACCAGCCCATTTAGGGAATTATCGTACTTGCTGTGCTCCATTTCACTGCGTTTTGAACCAGAGCAAACCAATTCCTGCACCCTACCTGACATTCACATGTCATCCGGGTCATGTAACTGCAACCCAGCAATAGACAATAAAAATGTAGTATTTCAAACAAGAWAGAACTCAATGCCAACTATCACTGATGTCCCTGTCACAGACCGACAGAGGGCATTTCTATGTCCCAACAGGGGACAAAAATAAATATAAACAAATATTACATTGCCTAAAATTGGGTACATTTCATTTTTTAAGTACATCCAACAAGAGTCATCCAATTCAATACTCTTTTGCTTGTTGAGTGTGGTTTTAAGAAAAGCAGACTGCAACAAACCACATTAAACTATTCTTTGAAATAAAGAAATATATTTTTGTTTATATGATGTATGTGTTATGAATGTTCTGAATCTCTTATCTATCTGTTAATCTGATTTGTTGGATCTGCAGATAGATAAAATGTGCTCATGTAAAAAAAAAAAATACACTTAAGGCAATGTATAATTGTGCTGAAATTTCCAAATGGCAGAAAAATAATATTTTTGTAAATTCCTGCTCAGAGAAAATTTTCTAAATATTCATGTGGTTTAGCTTAAAAGAGTAAAGATCAATAAAGTTCTTTGGAGGTATCTGCCTTATCTCTGTCAAAGAAAATGGTTTGTTACATGTTTTTCTACATGACATATCAGCATTTCATACCTCCATGGCAAGAGCGGCAGTCTGCTGGTCATAGTGTTTGAGCACGTTGGGCATGAAGGTGGAGTTGTACGGCAGGCCCTGACACATGCGCAGGGTGATGGGCTCGCAGGAGAACAGGCTGTGGCTCCCCGCTGCAGCGTCCATAGGGATGGCTACGCTTATGGCAAGCAAGGACACGAAAAGAGCCCAGAGGAGATCCATTACCAAACTGGACGAACGAGAGGAGAGGAGAAACCCAGGAGACGGCTGGTTAGGAAACAGGGTTGAGACCTGTTACCATGAGGCTCGTTCACCAGGACAGAGAAGTCACAAGGACTGAAGAGCGTCTGCTACGCTCTTCTTCCTGATCAGATTACAAAGAAACAGTTTAGGTTGGCCAATGTAGTCTGACATATTTGTGGTTGACGTTGACAGCGTCCATCTTTGTGGAGATCCCAGCATGGCACAACCTCCAGTCACCTGGAAGAAGTCATCAATAACTGATGGACATGATCTGCAAACAGAGAAAAAGCCCAAATGTAAATAAATAAACGAACAAATAAATAAACAAATTATTAATAATAATTGAAGAAGAGAAATATTACTTAACATGAATATGCCAGAAACTAGCAATGCAGAATAACCTTTAAACTAAAAGGTTGTTAATAAAAATTTATAAAAACACAAAAGACGGTTTCACGAAAATATTATCCCGATTTTTATACAAATGTTGACAGGCTTAAACAATAAAAGCCTTCTTTGTCAGATAAAAATCTTCAAAAACAATTTAAGTACCTGAGAAATATTCAAATCCTCACCAGTGTATTAAGTTTTAAAATATTAACCCTCCTGTTGTCCTCATTTTCTGTATACACCCTTTGTCC